AGGCCGAGGCTGAAGGCAGACTGAGGCTGAGGCTGAAGCAGGCTGAGGCCGAGGCTGAGGCAGGCTGAGGCTGAGGCTGAGGCAGGCTGATGCTGAGCCAGGCTGAGGCTGAGGCTGAGGCTGAAGCAGGCTGAGGCTTTGGCTGAGACTGAGGCCGAGGCCGAGGCCGAGGCTGAAGGCAGACTGATGCTGAGGCTGAAGCAGGCTGAGGCTGAGGCAGGCTGAGGCTGAGGCTGAGGCAGGCTGAGGCTGAGGCAGGCTGAGGCTGAGGCTCAGGCTGATGCAGGCTGAGGCTGAGGCAGGCTGAGGCTGAGGCCGAGGCTGAAGGCAGACTGAGGCTGAGGCTGAGGCTGAGGCTGAGGCTGAGGCTGAGGCTGAGGCAGGCTGAGGCTGAGGCTGAGGCTGCTGGCAGGCTGAGGCTGAGGCAGGCTGAGGCTGAGGCCGAGGCTGAAGGCAGACTGAGGCTGAGGCTGAAGCAGGCTGAGGCTGAGGCTGAGGCAGGCTGAGGCTGAGGCTGAGGCTGAGGCTGAGGCTGGCTGATGCTGAGGCAGGCTGAGGCTGAGGCTGAGGCTGATGCAGGCTGAGGCTGAGGCAGGCTGAGGCTGAGGCCGAGGCTGAAGGCAGACTGAGGCTGAGGCTGAAGCAGGCTGAGGCTGAGGCTGAGGCAGGCTGAGGCTGAGGCTGAGGCAGGCTGATGCTGAGGCAGGCTGAGGCTGAGGCTGAGGCTGATGCAGGCTGAGGCTGAGGAGGCTGAGGACTGAGGCTGAGGCTGAGGCAGGCTGAGGCTGAGGCTGAAGGCTGAGGCTGAGGCTGAGGCAGGCTGAGGCTGAGGCTGAGGGCTGATGCTGAGGCAGGCTGAGGCTGAGGCTGAGGCTGAGGGCTGAGGCAGGCAGGCTGAGGCTGAGGCCGAGGCTGCAGGCAGACTGAGGCTGATGCAGGAGCAGGCTGAGGCTGAGGCTGAGGCAGGCTGAGGCTGAGGCTGAGGCTGAGGCAGGCTGAGGCTGAGGCTGAGGCTAATGCAGGCCACTGCGACTGTCATCGCGAATGCGACTACGACTGCGAGAACAGCAGAACTCTACAACTGGATTCTCATCTGAATCTTAAGGGGGATGTTTCCAGATATGCTCCTACACATCGCTGTTAGGTTGCTTTGCCGGGATAATTGATTGTAATGGCCGTCTTGGAGGGCCTCTTGAGACTCTCTTGGGGCTTCTTGGCGGCCTCGACGGCAATTTTGAGGTCATCTTGGGCGATCTGGAACGATTGTTCGGCGACTTGAGGCCGCTTGGATTGTTTCGGGGGCGTTCCGGTGGCGTTTTGGCGCGCTCCTGGAGCGTTCTGGGGGCATGAGCCGAACGTCGCGCTCTGGGCGGCGTGCGGAAGCCATTGTGTGAGAGGGCGCGGTGGTGAGAAGAACAGCTCACCCCACCCGGCTTTCCGGGCTTTCCGGCGTAAGGAGGGCTTCTTCGCGGCACTTGTGAACGCTCCTGGACAGTGCTTTTTGGGCAGGTTCTTGACGCTTGTTGCAAGTCTGTAGGGGCCCCGTTGGGAGTCTACCGAAAGGAGAGCACATTGTAGCATCGCTTGCACTTGCTTGCGTGCTCGGGGGGGCATTTGGGGGGCCTCCTGGGGCCGCTTGGGGGACTCTTGGGGGCCTCCTGAGGGCCTCGTGGGGGCTTCTTGGGGCCTCTTAGGGGCCTCTTGGGGCCTCGTGGGGGCTTCTTAGGGCCGAGGGCTCGAAATGTTGTTTCGTGTTCCCTCTCTGGGGCCCCTTTGGGGGCGTTCTTGGGGCCCTTTTGGACCGTCTTGGAGGCTTCTTGGGCCGTCTTCGAGCCCTCTTGGGCCATCTTGGGGCCCTCTTGGGGGCCTCTTGGGCCCTCTTGGGGCGATCTTGGGGGCCTCTTGGGCCGTCTTGGGGCGTCGGGAAGCCGAAAAGGTGGAAGCTCCAAAATCTTTCAAAAACCTAAGGAAAAGCAATGAATTTTGCCTCCTGGGGCCCTCTTGGGAGTGCTCTTGGAGGCCTCTTGGGGCGTCTGGGGGCTATCTTGGGCGTCTTGGAAGCGATCTTGTGGCATGTCGGACCCCTCGTGTACCATCTTGGGGGCCTCTTGGGGGCCTCTTGGCCTTTCTTGGGGCTCTCGGGGACGTCTCGGAGCCCTGTTGGTGCGCTCATGGAGCGCTCTGGTGGAGTCGCCCGGGGATCAGCCGGGGGTCGCCCGGGGTACTTTTCGTCCGGGGACCCCCAGGGGCCGCCCCGCGCGCGCGAACTAGAGAATTGTTAACCAGTTACCGGAGATCTTAGCACGCCTCTGGCCCGTTGGGCCGGCGAATTTCCCTGGCCCCGCCCCTGGGCCGCACACATGCCGCTGGTCATGATTTGCGCCCCCCCCCCCCACTTGGACGCCCTCCTCTTGGCCGCCCCCGACACTGGCAGCGATGCGGCCGCCGCCTATGAGACTTTGCTTGGCTAGGCGTGGAGGCAGTGTGTCCCCGTACCGCCATGCGCAGGCGATTGGGCCATCGAGCGGGGGCACGTGGCGAGCAGCGGGGGGAGGACGTAGATATCGGCATCAGCATTTGCAGGCTTGGGCTTGGATTCTACGTCTGCCCGTTGTGTCTGACATTCCTGTGCAGGCTCGCTCTGCGCGGGCAGCCAGCGCGCAGTTGGTGCCAGCGGGCCGTTCGCCTGGTCCGCTTCTGCGGTGCGCGCCGATTGTGATTCTTCTGCCTCTCTCGCATAGCCGAGCGGCTTTGGACGAGTGAGCCCGCGGGGCCGCGCCAGTCCGCCATCCAGGACAGGCGCATATCGATGCGCGCTGGGGGGGGTTGTGGGCGCAACCGTTGGATGGCCGTTAGTGCCACGTGGAGCTCGCTGGCGGCGCGGTGCCTGTGTGGCACGTGGTGTTTGAGGCGAACAGTGCCTCCCCGGTGCGTGCGTAGCGCTTCAGCATCTCAGTGCGATCCCTCGCGGGTGCATGCGCTGCAGCCGGTGTGCGTGCGTTTCGTCCCGCCGTCGTTGCGGGGTGAGCGTGTCTGCTTCGCCCTGGGCTTTCGTGCAGGTCAGATCGTGGCAGCACACAATCGTCGCCGTTTGGCCGCAGCGCCCTCGGCGCCTGGGGCCACTCGCCTGGCGTCCGGCCGCTGCCGTGCTCGTGCGAGGTATCCGTGGCCCGCACGGGCCTGCCGCCCGCGGGTGGGAGATTGCAAATGCTGCCCCTCGTTTGCACAGGAGCGTGGCTGCGTGCGCAGGGCGTGCCGGGCGCCAGCCGAGGGCGGCTGCCATGCTTTGATTGCCGTTCGGGGGCTGGCCTCAGAAGCGAACGAATGGTCGCTCCCGGTTCTCGGTGTGGCCTCTGTTCGAAAAGCTGTGCTGCGTCGACTTCGGAGAAGGGTTCGTGGCGTCTTCGCCCCGCCTGGGCTCCGTGGCCTGCTGGGAGGCCCGCGGCTGGAGGAGGATGAAGAGGAGGAGGAGGAGGAGGAGGAGGAGGAGGAGGAGGAGGAGGAGGAGGAGGAGGTCGAGAAAACAGAAGGGAGGATAATGACAGTTTCAGGTTGGGATGGGTGGAGGGGGGGGAGAAGGAGGAAACGAGGGCGAGGATTAGGATGAGGTGGAGGAAAGAGAGGAATTGGTGTGGGAAACGGGAGACAGAGGAGGAGACGGGGACACAGCGGGAAAGCAGCACACGCAGCATCAGCAGCAACAGCAGCAGCAGCAACAGCAGCGACCGCACAAAAACACATTCTAATCGCGTGAAGCGCGCCTTCACCTTTGACAGGGATGAAGGAGTGCTTGGCCTGGCCCTGATGATTCCCCAGGCCTTGGGACAGGGAGTGCGCGACAAGTTCTCCTCCGCGGAGTCCCTCCAGCTCATGGTCTCGTCGCTGCGCCATCTGATGCCTACCGTGCTGCCCGCTGACCCGACCGCAGCTCCTCAGGACCCAGGGTGGAACGCTGAACTCTTGGCCCCGCCCTTCTCTTTTTTTTCCCATCGTGCTGCCCGCCGTCTCTGCTGCGGCCTCTTCTGACGGGCGGGGCGCTCTCTCATTCAGGAGCGGATCAAAGACGCACGCGCGCATGAATGCGCATGGGTTGCGAGAGAGTGCATGTCGCGAGCATTAGTGACTTGACGGCGGCCTCGCGAACTAGAGGGGACATATTCATGCAAGTGGCTGTGCGCGTACGTCCTTTTTGGGCTTACTAGTCTTGTCTCCTCTTAACGCTTGCCATCTCGCCCACGCGCAGGGCGCAGGGGCAGGTGGAGATGCACACCCTCGACTTTTCCGCTCTCGCCCGTTTGGCAGTGTGATTGCGTACAACGGTCGCCCAGCTGGACATACCCTCTGGGCTGCCGTGGACTTTTGTGCGGTATGACCTTTGGGACGTGCGGACCGCATTGATGTAGGTCCGGCCGCGTGGGCTCAGTGTCAGCCGTTCCACGCGGTGTCAGAGACCCACCCTAAAGTCGTCACGAGCTTCCTGTATGACCTCTTCGACGTGCGGACTGCATACCTGCCCCCCCCCGCTTGCGGAATAGAGGTGTGCGTGCGCAGCGCAGAGGACATCCACCGATCCCTCGACCGCCAGACGCTGGCGCAGCCAGAGGTAGGGGTCGTCTCGTTTTGGCCCGGGGCCCGAGCCGACCGAGGCTCGTAGCGCATGGCGGGGAGCGGCGTGAGGCCAGCACTGCACAAGGGTCATCGAGCACAGAAGAACTCCGAACTCTAATGACACGATGAGGACGTAGCCTCACTGAGGTCCCCGTCTTCGCGTTAGGGATGATAATTCCGGGCGGTTTGGGCTGACACGTCCGCAGAAGAGATCCCCTATCCCTAATGTTTTTGGCCCTCCTACCTTAGGTCCCCTACCAAAGGGTTAGGGTTCCTCCTCCTCGTCCTTCTCCTTCATCTCGTCGTCGTCGTCCTCCTCCTCCTCCTCTTCCTCTTCCTCCTCCTCCTCCTTCTCCTCCTCCTCCTCCTCCTCCTCCTCCTCCTCCTCCCTCTCCTCGTCTTCGGGAGCGGCATGAGGCCAGCACCAGACAAGGATGTCTTCATTCCCACCTCTGGAGGATAACGACAGGGTTCCGAGGTCGATCACGTGAGCGGCCACGGCTGCTCTTCGCGCAAGCCGCCATAGAGTTGCCTCGCGCGCTGGTTTCTTCGTTCGCCGGCTTGCAGGCCTCCCCCAAGTTCCGCCCCACGCAGGGCATCGTTTCGATTCCTCCGATTCGATGCAAGTCGGCTTCGATGGCTTCGGATTCTGATTGGATTCGACTTGGGGTTCCGATTTGGGCTCCGATCTCTCACTGGAGGCCTACTAGCCTACCGAGTTCCGCCGATTCGGCTTTTCCCGACTCGGCTGCTGATTTCCGCCGATCCGATTCATTTCGATCGCGGATCCGACTTGTCGATTCGATTCTGGGCTCTCCTGCCCACGCAGGCGTTCAGAACTTTGACCCGAGGGATCGGATGTGGCTGCGCGGCAGCCGCGTGCGTGCCCCCCCCCCCCCCGCGCAGCAGAGGAGGACCACCCCGACACCCGACGCCGCGATGCCTGCGCCATGTGGACCCCGAGCCTCCCGACCCCGGCCCCGGGAGGGCCCCTCCCTCGGCTCCGCATCGTCCCTCGATGGCCTCACGGCCCGCGACGGCCCCCCCGGAGGCTCCGACCCGAGGAAGAGACCCGGACGCCTCGACCTCGCCGTGCCGCTGCAGGCCTAGAGGTTGACACCAACACCAATGTCGGCGGTTTGCTTCCACCGAGGGAAGGAGATCCCGCTCTCGGTGATGGTGGTAATGTTCTGGCTTCCAAGGTGACCGAAATATTACCACCAACACCGAAATCTGGGATCATCTTCCCCCTGGAGGCAACACCCTGTGTTGGTGTTGGTGCCCATTTCCAGCCCTCCATCGCTGGAAGCCCGGGGAGGCGGAGGAGCACGAGGCGTCAGGGAGGGAGCTGCCACAGCCCGCTCCGCCAGGGAGGCCCGCGGCCTGGGCCGACGGCAGGCCCGGGGGCTCCGGCGCCCCACCGGCCCAGAGGCACACGCCCTCGCCGCCTGCGGGTGCGTGTGTGCCTTCCCGGGCCTCCGACGCCGCGCGCTGCTCGTCGGGTCCCCTCGCCGGCACGTGTCTGCTCGCTCTCGGCCACCGGCGGGCCCTGCAGGCGGCAGCGCGAGTCTCAGTTCCGAGTCTTCTCCCCCCAGGCGGTGTCCCCAACGGGCCCCACACGAGGCCCCCCGGGAGGCCCCCGAGGGACGCCCAGAGGCCCCCAAGAGAGGCCTGCAGAGGCTCCCAGGAGTCGTCCAGGGGGGAGGCACCCCACGAGGTTGTCGGCCCAGGGGGCGATCAAGAGACCATGCGATGCGATGCGATGCGATGCGACCACCGTTGCGGACAGCGTCCGGGCCTAGAGCAGACCAGGTGGGTGAGGCCATAGCCTCTAGGTTCTGAGGTGTCTGAATTCATGCAGTGCGAGACATTTAAAAAGTTAGGAGGAGAGGGGGAGGAGGAGGAACGATCGTCTCTTGATCGCCCCGGGGGCCGGGAGGCCCCGGGTGGCCCGCGCAGCGAGAGAGGCAAGCCGCGCCCGAGGTGCGGACCCATCTACACCTGCATCTACATCTACATATACATCAACAGCGAGACTCACATCTACATCTACATCTACATCTACACCTACATCTACACCTACATCTACATGTACATCTACATCTACACCTACATCCACATCTACACCTACACCTACATCTACATCTACATCTGCACTTTCGCATTGGTTTTGCTTTTGCTTTGCATTGCCTTTGCTTTTGCTCTTGCCTTTGCTTTTGCCTTTGCATTTGCTTTTGCTTTTGCTTTTGCTGTTGCTTTTGCTTTGCTTTTGTTGTTGCTTTTGCTTGTTTCTGATTTTGCTTTGCCTGCGCACAGACACACACACACGCATGTCTTTGCATTCGCTCACAGGGTGTGCTTGAGAAAGCCCGCATGACGCAATACACGGCTGCACGCTCTTGCGTGGCTCTGCGAGTCACGGAATTGAGGCTGAACGGCAACGAGGATGAAAGGCATTACGACGCGGTGCTGAACAAATACATGCACACACACGCACACACACATGCAGCATTCCACATGGGTGTTATGTATATATACACATATATTTGCATATGTAGAAAGACATTTAGGACATGCGATAAGACGTCGGGTTTCATGTCTCCCGGCCGGTGCTATGTGCGAAACCTTCGTGAATCCTAAGGGCTCAAGCTGCCCCACTAAGGGCTCAAGATGGCCCACAGACGGACAACATGCATGGAACACACGTGCGCACACACATATAAGTACATACATATACATATGCATATACATATCTATATATATATATATACATATGTTTATACATATAGCCGCAGCAATAGTGGATGCTGTGCTGCGCTATGCTCTGCTCTGCTCTGCTCTGCTCTGCTCTGCTCTGCTCTGCTATGCTATGCTATGCTATGCTATGCTATGCTATGCTGCGCAATGCTATGCTGGGCTAGGCTAGGCTAGACTAGGCTATGCCATGCTATGCTATGCTATGCTATGCTGCGCTATGCTATGCTGCGCTATGCTGCGCTTTGCTATGCTATGCTATGCTATGCTGTGCTGTGCTGTGCTGCGCTATGCTATGCTATGCTATGCTTTTGCTTTGCCTTCGCTTTTGCCTTCACTTTTGCTTTTGCTTTTGCTTGGCACCCAGGGAGCGCAACTGGGGGAACCGCGCGTTTGCTTTTACCTTTGCTGTTGCTTTTGCTTGGGTCCCAGGGGACTGGGGGAACCGCCCGGGGCGGTTTGCACTGCCCGGCCCCTTTAAGCCAAGCGAGTAAGAACCCTTCTGGGCAGAGCCTAGGTCGGCAATGAAAGAAATAGTCCCCAGACTATTTTTGGGCCACTTTTTTGTTTGTTTGTGATTGTAAAACAAGTTTTTTTTTTTTTTTTTTTTTTTTTTTTTTTTTTTTTTAATCGCGGACAATCCCCCTGCAGGGGGACAGGCCCGACTTGACCCTGGCTCCCTTCCGATGCCTGCCCCCGTCGTCGGCTGCCGGTGGCCAAAAGGGGCTCGGCGGCCCGAGCCGGTGCCGCCTCGGGGGAGGGGGCGCAGCCTCCAGGGCAGTCACAGGGGGGTCGTCTGCTCCCTCCCTCCTCCCTCCTCCCTCCCTCCTCCTCCTCCTCCTCCTTCTCCTCCTCGTCCTCGTTCCTCCTCCTCCTCCTCCTCGTTCCTCCTCCCTCCTCCTCCTTCCTCCTCTCTCCGCCTCCCTCATCGTCGTCGTCATCGTCGTCGTCCTCCTCCCCCTCCTCCTCCTCCTCCTCCTCCTCCTCCTCCTCCTCCTCCTGTGGTGCCACTGGTCACAGGTGTTTGCGGCATTCGACCCATAGAGGGACCTTTAGCCAATCTGGCATGAACATGCGGGGAACTTCGTTGACATTAGGTGAGACAGAACTACCTCGAGCTGCAACAGGGGGACTTCCTCTGTCTGGCCAGGTTTCGACCCCACTCTGCCCATGGACCTGATGGCATACCCTACACATGGTGGCATAACTCGACAGTTGCCGACGTCCTTCGGGAGGGCTACCTGGCTGTGTGGGACTCTGAGGGGGGGGCTCTGCCCGGGGCCTAGGGATAGGGGGAACAGTTTGATGGAGTCTCTTTTGAAGGATCTGCATCCTAGGGCTATGATGTTCCAACCTACTTTAGCCTTGATCACCAGATAGACATTCGAGCACCAAAAAAGTACCGAATCTCGACGGTTTTCACGTGTCGGGCCCTGGGAGACACTCGTCCGACACTGTTTCGATACTGTTTCGACACTCTTGCGACACTTTTCTGGGTGATCGAAATTATTTCTGGGATGTGGTCCTTAAGTACGATGGGAGCAACATAAATCCAGGGAACCAACGCACACTGG